GTCTTTAGATTGTGATTGCCACAATGCCAAATTGTAATGACTAAAACGTTTTACTCTGATCTCATATACGAAGAGTTGTCATGAATTTATTTATTTGTCATATTTATTGAAAGATTAAGCACTAAATGAAATCTTAAGGGGTTATTCAAGAATAATAATGAGGGGTTGAACTGAGAGTTAAAAGGTTGGGAGTCCCGGATCCAAAATGTTTTGGTATTTGTTGCTGTTAAATTGAATGTTTTTTTTTTTATAATTATGCATCTTATAAACATTCAAAAAAAGCTGTAGCTGTTTTACTCTAAAATATATATGAGGATGTTATTTGTTCATCAGGCGGAGTCAGGACAAGGTGATCTGGGGACCCTGGCTAATGTGGTTTCATCATTAGCCAACCTGAATGATCCGGTTAGTAACGGAGAGCTGGAGGAGTCACCCAGTGAAATCACACGGTGTGTTATTAATGCAGACAATAGTTGTGTATGTTTTTCACAACGGAAAGAGATACAAAATTATGGTATTTGTTATAGGAATAAGTGATCTTAAAAAGAAAATTAGGTAACACTTTATTTTGATAGTCCACTTTAGACATTCTACTAACAGTAAGTAACTTTGCAACTACATGTCAACTAGCAGTCATTAGAGTATTAGTAGACTAGTAGACTGCTTGATATCTGCTAACACTTTATTTTGATGGGTCCACAACATACTGATTATGAGAAACTTTGCAAGTATATATCAACGTATTCTACTAACCCTAAACCTAACCTAACAGTCTACTCAGAGTTAGTAGACGTGTAGTTGTGAATTAAAGGGGTCATATGATGTTGCTAAAAAGAACATTATTTTGTGTGTGTTCCTGCAGAAGAGAGAAGGTTGTACAGTTTTGGAATGACATAAGGTTAAGTAAATTTCAAAGAGCTGGTTTTGAAATGTACCATCAAAACAAGGTAAAAAAAAAAAAATATATATATATATATATTTTGTAATTGTTTCTGAGTGTGATGTCTTTGGTGTTGCAGTGCCTTTGACACGCTAGCTAAAGCTCTGAACCCCAGTGAGGTGGTGGAGGGCCAGAGCTTGTCAGAGGTGGATGGGGTGGGCGGAGCTACAATACAGGTGATCAGCAGGGATCAAATCTCACCACTCATAGAAGTCGAGGGACCTCTACTTACAGACACACACATCAGCTTTAAGGTGTGTACATGACATTCTCACACTCTTGCAAAAGCCTTGAAGTCAACATAAAAATAAAAATACTTAAAATGTTTTAGGCTACTGTTGTAGACTGTACCTCTCTGTTAGCTGTTATTTATCATTGATTAGTATTATTCCAGGCTGACCCACTTTTCATCATCCAATAAATTCCTGATAGATCATATTAAGTATTGCCCTACATTGTTTTAACACATTAAATAACGGTTAATTCTAAAATGTCACAAAATGGGTTGTGAAAGCCATTTGAGTTTAATAATGTACAGTGGGGAGATTCAAAAGTCTGGAATAATTAAGATTGCTGTTGAAAGAAGACTCTTCTGCTTACAAAGGCTGCATTTATTTGATCACAAACACAGAAAAAACTGTAATATTGTGAAATATTATACCAATTAAAAATAGCTGTTTTCTATTTGAATATCTGTTAAACTGTAATTTATTCCTGTGATGCGCAGCTGAATTTTCAGCATCATTACTCCAGTCTTCAGTGTCACATGATCCTTCAGAAATCATTCCAATATGCTGATTTGCTGCTCAAGAAACATTTATTATTATCATCACGAGACTTCTTTCAAAAACAATCTTAATTATTCCAACCTTTTTACCCCCAGTTAATGTCTGTTACAGAATAATTAAGCATAGAGCGGTGTGTTATAATAGTCTTTTTTAGTATTCCTAATATATTTCACTTTGATATAGTTGATACTGGTTAATATAACAATTATAATATTGGGACAGTTTATTTTCAGTAAATCATTGATGAACTGTATTTCATGTTGTCAAATAAGAACACAGAATAAGTGAATTGAGATGATTAATTACGCTGTTGTCTTCTGTAGAGTTGATTTATATTTGTAATTATAACTGAAAATATTGTTTCCTAATTGAAGAATATTGCAGCACACTTTTTATTACTGTAAAGGTGCTTCAAAATAGTTTGTATCGTATAAAGTACAGTATAAATAAACATGATTTCATATAGCATGTGTGAAAATGTGACCCTAGACCACAAAACCAGTCATAAGGGTAAATTTTTTTGTTAGGATTGGACAATATTTGGCTGAGATACAACTATTTGTAAATCTGGAATCTGAGGGTGCAAAAAAATGTAAATATTGAGAAAATCGCCTTTAAAGTTGTCCAAATGAAGTTCTTAGCAATGCATATTACAAAAATTAAGTTTTGATATATTTACGGTAGGAAATGTACTAAATATCTTTATGGATCATGATCTTTACTTAATATCCTAATGATTTTTGGCATAAAAGAAAAATCAATAATTTTGACCCATACAATGTATTTTTGGCTATTGCTACAAATATACCCCAGCGACTTAAGACTGGTTTTGTGCTCCAGGGT